ACTACTTTTTGGTAATTTGTAAGTAGGGTTTCGAGTCATTCAGTAACTGCTAGTAGTTATTAGTAGAAACGAAGCGAAATTTGGTTTAGATGAATCTCCTAAGATAGCATTGTTAGGGGGGCCTTCATTTCGAATGAAAGTGCATTAAGAAGAGATTCTTTGCTCGATCTCACCAGATGAGGACGGATGAATCTCGTTGTACTGTAGCCGTTTGGCTTTTATACGATATTCATGTTGACGCAGTCCAGAAGACTTCCTCCCTCGTTTCGGGTGAAAATGTGCTGAGATAGATAAATAGATAGATAGATTTTTATATATTTATACATATAGATAGATAGGTAGATAGGTAGGTAGGTAGGTAGATAGGTAGGTAGATAGATAAGTAGATAAATAAATACATATATATATATATATATATATAGGTAGAAATATAGAAATAGAGTGGTTTGGTTAATTATCTTTAATATTTGTCCTGTTCGTTTTGTGTGTATGTGTATGTGTGTGTCTTAGTGTCTATACGAAATACCGATCCTCAATCAGAGTTGCTAAAAGGCTAATGTCATACTCTGATCATCAAGAACTAAGGACCCAACAGCCGAAAGAAAATTAAAAACCTAAATAGATCGGTCAAGGCTTTCTGTTGGGTCCTTAGTCCTTGATGCTCAGAGTATGACATTAGCCTTTTAGCAACTCTGATTCAGGACCGGTATTTCGTATAGACGCTAACACACAAACACACAAACAAACATACACACAATCACACACTCAAACAAAACGAACAGGACAAATATGAAAGATAATTAACCAAACCACTCTCTATCTAGCTATATATATATATATATATATATCTACATATCTATCTATCTATCTATCTATCTATCTATATCAGCACGTTTTCACCCGAAACTAGGGAGAAAGACTCGTGGACTGCGTCAACATGAATATCGTATAAGAGCAAACGGCTGCAATTCAACGAGATTCATCCGTTCTCAACTGATGAGATCGAGCAACGAATCTCTTCTTCATGCACTTTCATACTAAATGAAGATCCCCCTAACAATACTAGTCCTTCATCACCTTAAACGAAATAGGATGAACACATCACATGTCCCTGATTTACTGGTTGTCTCGAAAGTCTACTTACTAGATGAAAATATAAAATTTTCCCCCTCGAAAATCCCACTATAGAAGTGATATGGTCTGACCTAAAATGCACCTCCTTCCTCCGAACCACTGGCATCTGTGGGAAACTTTGCCCACTACATCTTCATCATTTTATGCGACCTCTATTTTCGCCTCTCATACACACCTTTTTCTCACTTCATACCTTTTTTGGTCCATATCAGATTTGTATTGTGCATGGAAACGTGTATTACACAAACCAATTCTCTATCGACACCGTGGATCAGCATTTCGTCTGTCTCACCTGCCGACTGCCACAGATCAACAGGGCTTACGGATATCCCAATTGGATATACCGAAGTGAGTTTTGCGACGTCACAAATGGTCTCCATTTCACTTGCTCCCTTGGCAACCACACGTCTCGTTCCGATTGCTTCGGGCTGGAGTAATGCTCCGTCTGGCTATGAAGAGTGTGAATCTCCAGCCGGTTCCGGTATCAGCTTTAGACCCACGTGATGTGCTGCAGCATTACTTGTCTTCCCGGCAAACTCTCACATGTTCAGGTTTGAGGCAACGACCCATCTTCGAGAAGTGGTAGAGCGTAAAAAATAACTCCTCTTGAAAATAGGCATAGTCTATGATTCCAGTTTATCGCATTGACAATGTGATTTAGATGCTGCCGAGCTTGTCGTGTGAATCACACTTGCTAGGCCCTCCGAAGTATCAGTTACATTCGTACTGAATGGCGAAAAAGATGTGAGTTGGAAGAGGCTTCCATGGCAGAAGTATAAATCCACTGGCATAGTGAGGAATACCAATAAATGGTGGGAGAATTGACAATTGTTCGTTTGTCAAGTTTACTTCCGCTTCGAGTGAAAGAGTGCGATGAATGGAAAACTGCCGATTCCTCTTGAACAACGGTTGATTTGCTTTACTAGAACGTTCCTGTTGACGCTGTCTCCGAGGCAATCTCCTTCGAAAAAAAGTTGAGTTTCGAGGAATCTCTTCCGTTTCATTATTGTTGAGCTTACTTTCATTTCGAGTGGAAGTGTTGAGTGAAGAGATTTGTAGGTCGGTTTCACCAGAAGACGACGGCTGATTCCTTTTGACCAGCTGTCGATTGGCTTTAATGGAAGATTCATGCTTACGCTGTTTCCGAGGCAATCTCCTAACCCTAACGGAATCGAAGGAGATTGCCTCGGAAACAGCGTCAGCATGAATGTTCCAGTAAAGCCAATCGACAGCT